GGAGTCACTGTTGTGCCCAGATTCAGTGTCCTTCTCTGAAAAGGGGGCACAAGGTCTCCTCTCGGAGGGCTAGGCAAAGCAGCAGCTCACAGGGGGCTGGGGAGCAGAAATCGAGGGCAGAGGTGGCTGCTGTCATGGTGATAAGCAACAGGTAGCTATGTTCCCACCTGGGACAGATTTCACTCTCTATGAGCCCAGAACTCGCTCCACTGCACCTGGGAATCATCTCAAGGATCAGGGCTCTGCTTCATCCTGGCTGCTAGGAGACCACCCAGAGACCACCAGCGGAAGACAGGAGGGTGCAGTCCCAGAGGAGCACGCCCCGACCCCCCACATTTGCCCGCAAGTTGGGAGCCCTGAGCTTCTGGAACTGGGGCAGCCTAGGTCAGCAGGGGCCCAGAGTCAGCCAGCCGTGCAAACTTTCTTCTTTACAGATGGGGAAGCAGGGGCCTGGGGCGGGACAGGGGCAGGACTGGGGGCTGAAATGCAGGGCTCCCACCCACTTCCAGCCCTCTTTTTCCTGCAGTGCGTCCCCCTTCCCCAAAGACCCAACGATGATGATGATGGTGATGGCGATCACTGTTCCATTTAATAAGTACTTACCACATTCTCTACCCCACAGCAGACGTTCAGCACATTTCGGTCTTCACCATATTCTGAAGCTAAATATCCGTTGCCCACGAGTCCTTTCCAGCTCAAGGCCACCAATGGGTGCCACCGGGGAAGCTCTGGGCCCCGTAGGCTTTCAGTGACTGAGCTTTCAGACTCTGTGGACTGCCAGGTCTTTCTTCCAAGGGACCTATGGGTGAACTTAACATTCCCGTCTTCGGGGTGACAGCTGACTGTGTTAACTGTTTTCACTGCCTAGGGCCTGGACCAGGTAGCTCTTTCCACCTCCATTTGGCAGACAGGAAATGGAAGCTCAGAGAAGTGAAATGGCTCAAGGTTGGTGGCTTTGCTGGGTGACATCGAGTCCATGTGGGCTCCCAGCGGCCCCGTGTGGTGGAGTGAAGTGCCCCACAGGGTGTCTGGGTCATTCTCTTAGAGAGCTGTTGGCCAGGCCTGTCTCCCGCGGGGCCCCTGGGCGGGTTTGAATTGTCAACCTTTGGGTTAGTAGTTAGTAGTCAGCAGGGCCCCTCAAGTTTAGTGGTTTAACAACTACCAACTCACTGTCATGGTCCATTTTGACTCATTGCAATCCTTTAGGGCGGAGCAGGACTGCCCCTCCCTCCGGGGGGGGTGGGGTGGTGGTGTTTCAGACCAACCTTTTTAGGAGTAGAAAGCTTCATCTTTCACCCAAGGAGTGGCTGGTGGTTTTGAACTGCTGACCCTGTGGTTAGCAGTCCCACTCATAACCAACCCACAATGCCATCAGGGCTCAGCATGATTCCAAAGCCCCTCCTATCTCTCTGCACTAAATTCTTTTTCTTTTAATAAATCACTTTATGGGGGGGCTCTTATAACAATCCATACATCAGTTGTATCAAGCGCATTTGTACATATGTTACCATCATCATTTTCAAAACACTTTCTTTCTGCTTGAACCCTTGGTATCAGCTCCTCTTTTTTCCCTCCCTCCCCCACCCTCCACCCTCGTGAACCCCTGATAAATTATAAATTATTATTATTTTCATATCCTACACTGCCCTCTGTTTCCCTTCACCCACGTTTCTGGTGTTCATCCCTGATGGGGTGGGGGCTGTTATAGGTTGATCATTGTGATCAGAGTCCCCATTATTCCCCTTCTCCCCATCTTCCTCCTGCCCTCATGGTAATGCCTCCCCTGTTACTATATCTGCGGTTTTATCTGTCCTGGATTCTGTACGTCCAGAGCTCTTATCTGTACCAGTGTTCGTGCTCCTGTCTAGCCGGATTTGTAAGCTAGAACTGGGGTCGTGATAGTGGGGAGGAGGGGAGGAAGCATTAAAGAGCTAGAGGAAATGTTGCATGTTTTGTTGGTGCTATCCTGCACCCTGGCTGGCTTGTCTCTTCCTTGTGACCCTTCTGTCAGGGAGGGGATGTCCAATTGTATGCAGATGGGCTTTGGGTCTCCACCCGACCCCCCTTGTTTAGCATTGATATATTTGTTTGTTTGGGATCTTCTAATGCCTGATACCTGATCCCATCGACACCTCATGATCACACAGGCTGGTATGCTTCTTCCATGTTGGCTTTGTTACTTCCCTGCCGCTTGTTTATCTTCAAGCCTTTAAGACCCAGACATCTTGATAGCGTAATATTCATATGCGTTGGTGCTATGGTAGCATTAATTTTGCTTTCTACTCCGTCCATGCTTGCTGAAGTATTAGACAAAGAATAAATGAGTTTTTGCCTTTAATAGCACCATCAGCTTTCTTCACCACATTTGCTTATGCGCCCATTTTGTCTTCAGCAATCGAGTTGGGAAGGTGGGCATCACAGAATGCCAGGTTATTAGAATGAAGTGTTCTTGCCTTGAGGGAAGACTTGAGTCAGAAGTGACTACCCAGACAGTCGCTGTTGACATTCCAGAAGCACCTCCTACTCCTGACCTTCCCCTCCGCCAAGGGCTAGTGCTTATTTTGCCTGGACATGGCCTCAGAGCTGACACTGGATCATATGCGTTCTGGGCACTCACACTGGGAGGCTGTTGGCTGTGGGGATGGCGAAGGCTGAGCTCTGTGGGTGGGTGGGGGGAAGTGGGAGGTGGCAGGGATATGGGCAGAAGCCAAGCAAGAGCCCCAGAGCCCCAGGATGGGTATCAAGGTCCTGGGATAGTAGGGTGAAGTGAGCGTCCCATTGTCCAAATACACTCCCTGGTCAGGGGCATGTGCAGGGGGTGAGAGAACACCCTAGGGTGAAATCCATCTGCCGGCATCCATTTGCCATCTTCACCATGTGTAAAGAAAGAGACTGTGTGGCTGGGCAGGGCAGAGGGAGGGTCAGAAATGGAGCAGTCTATGTGAACCCCCAACCCTCTGACCCCGACGCTCCTGGAGCACACACCGCAGTTCCTGCACCCAGGGGTCTCCAATGACTAGGGCCACTAAGCCGGCAGAGCCAAGTGCTGTGGGATGGATGGTGCTGGGGAGGGTAGGAGGCAGGAGACAGCCTGTGATCGGTGGGTGTCTGGACCCAGAGGGTCCCACGATGAACCTGGCCCACCTGGTAGAATGAGTGAAGGGCAAAGCACTGGCAATAGATTGGCACAGAATCACCTAGCTCGGTGAGTAAGGAGTGTCTGCCTTGAGGATTGTGCTTGCCAAAGAGTTATCTGCAAGGGGCCAAGTTGACAAGAGCTGCTCAGAAGATTAGGCGGCAAGACCTGGAGGCAGTGAGCTGCTGTGATTGGTGGAAAAATAATGCAAGAAAACCCCAAGAAAACTCCCTGCCATTGAGTTGATGCTGACTCATTGCAACCCCGTCGGACAGGGCGGAGCAGCCCCTGTGTGTTTCCCAGGCTGCAGTGGGACGGGTTCACATAAGTGGCAGCCACTGTAAGGACTTGATAACTCCGAAGAGTCTTTATTCAGTTAAAACTGGACTGCTAGAATCTAAAAGCGATTCTTTGATTGCAGTCCTGAGTACACATTTCAGTCCATCTTTAAAGGCAAAAAGCTCATTTATCCTTTGTCTAAGACTTACGCATGCCTGGACAGAAGCAGAAAGCAAAATTAAGGTTGCTGTTCTTTAGGGTTAGGGAGCCTTACAGGGCACAGCATTGATGATAACATCCTGGTACCTTCAAGAAGAGCAAGCGTGCGTTACAGGGTACCTTCCTTATCGTAAAAGAAACGATACCAAAATTCACTATAATGCCAGGGTTACCACAGCAAGATTAACTACACCATGCAGATTACAACATCAAACGGGAAGTGGTAAAACAAATGTTATATTGAAGAATAGCCCAAACTAATTGTAGTGTCCCGAACCTGGGAACCTGAGAGTACATTCTAAAATCAGTCACTAGTGGGACTTTCCGAGATGGGGGGTTGGGGAGGGGGGCAGGTCCTTCAGCAGCTACCAAAAATGGAGCTTCTCTTGCCGGTCTGCCTCCGTCACACTCTGCCCATCTTTCTCCCAATCCGGAAAAGGAGGTGAGGATGGTGGTGTAACGTGAGGAATGGCACCGATGGCACCGGATTGCACGTGTAGAAACCGTCGAGTCGGTGTGTGTTTTGCTGGGCCGGGTTTCAACAACAGCCCAAAGAAACAGGGCACACTGCACAGAAAATAGCTCTGGGTAGAAATTGGGGGGATTCATTGAACACCCGAGTGTGAGAAGCTCAGCTGGACGCGACCCCTTGTGCTGCGTGACCCGCCCCATCACGCCATCAAGCAGGCCGTACTCAGTCTGCCGAGTGGGAAAGTAGGCTCGGATTGCTGCCCAGACGCCCCGGGCCACAGTGGCAGGAGGTGGCTGCCGGCAGGGTCTGGCTGGCTCGGACTCTCACCTGTGTAGCAAGGAAGCTCTAGCCTGGTCTAGGCTTGAGCATCATGAGGCTGTGGGCCAGTTCTGGGGAGGAGGCCATGTCCCTAAAGCTGGGAGTCCCTGGAGACTCTGGGTCCCAATTCCCTGCTTATCAATGAGGAGATTGGAGCTCTGGGAGGAGCCTTAACATCACAGAGGAAGCGTTGGGTGCTGGCGGGAAATGCCTGGAAGCAGACCTTGTCTTCTTTTTCCCCCTTCTAGGACTGGGGAGGGGCTTGTCCCCTGAAGGTTGGTGCTGGACACAGCCACACAGGGAGACCTTCCCGTGGTTCTGGAGTCAGTGGGGCACCACCCTCAATCTACCAAGCAGAGCCCCTTGCTGCCACTTCTCTGTAGTGCTTTGGGGTACCCTCCTGGGGGTTGGCT